GAGTTACCATCTGTTGCCATGGCATCCGTAAATGAGCGTGAGTGAAAGAACATTTCTGCCTCGTCGACAAAGTTGGCTTCTTTCCATTCTTCCTCCATTACCTTATTTTCCTCATTCCCCTTCTTCTCTCTCTTCTTCTCTTCTCTCCTTCAATCAGCCCCACCACCTCCTCCTCTTCTAGCTACTCTCTCATAACCCCTTCTTCTGCCTTCTCCTCCTTTTCCTCCTCTTCCTCCACCTCCACCTCCCTTTCCTCCTCCACCTCCACCTCCTCCTCCACCTCCTCCTCCATCTTCACTTCCACCTTCTCTTCCTCTACCTCCACCTCCCTCTCCTCCTCCTCCTCCTACTCCTCCTTCCATCCTCCTCCACCTCCTCCTCCATCTCCTCCTCCACCTCCTCCTCCACCTCTTCCTCCTCTACCTTCACCTCCCTCCACTCCTACTCCCTCTCCTCTTCCATCTCCTCCTCCGCCTTCACCTCCACCTTTTCCTCCTCCACTTCCACCTCCCTCTCCTCCTCTTCCACCTCCCTTCCTCCTCCACCTCCTCCTCCTGTGCAATGATCCGACGAGTGGAAGCAAACACTGAATATTTACACAGGAAGTCCTTGTCAACACAATATCTTTCAGTTGGAGGCAAGGATTCATATTTCTCGATTTTGGAATGCTTTTATTGTTTCGTAAAAGAAAGATACAAATGAATTTTTTAAGGGGGAAATTCGATTTTTTTTTTTTTTGTTTGCTTGTTTGTTGTTTAATTGTTTGCGTGTTTTATTGCAGATTCATTCTGATATGCAGTACTGATCCGTCTGATACCAATGCGATAATCTATTTGTAAAATATATCCTGGGGATCACACAAAAAAATAAACATCCAAAACAGTATCAATCTTTATTATCGTCTCCATTGTATATAGATATTTCATAGTTTTTTGTTTTGTTTTTTTCACAAGGGAACGAAGTAGAGAGTTAAAAATATTCGTAAATCGAAAAAAAAAAAATCTGAAAAGGAAAAAGCACTGAACTTTGATGTCTTTTATGACTTCGTGTCGCACCTTTATTAAGTTCCTGATGTCGTTTGCCAATGAGAAACGAAGCTTTAATAGCATTTTTTTCGTTTGTAGTTTCCAAGCTAAAACAAAACTCATGCTAATCATCTGAAATAGACATTTTTCTGTTATTTATTCATGATACAAATCCGTCATCTTTTCTTTATTTTTTGTTCATTTACACTTTTCCTTGCGGTATTTGAAGAGGAAATCGCATATGTTCATTTGTGTCTAAATTAATTTCTTTTTTTCGTGTTCTCATTCATGCTTTTATACATTTACGATTTTCTGAAAAAAAACTTTCTCTCTCTCTCTCTCTCTCTCTCTCTCTCTCTCTCTCTCTCTCTCTCTCTCTCTCTCTCTCTCTCTCTCTCTCTCTCTCTCTCTCTCTCTCTCTCTCTCTCTCTTCTCTCTCTCTCTCTCTCTCTCTCTCTCTCTCTCTCTCTCTCTCTCTCTCTCTCTCTCTCTCTCTCTCTCTCTCTCTCTCTCTCTCTCTCTCTCTCTCTCTCTCTCTCTCTCTCTCTCTCTCTCTCTCTCTCTCTCTCTCTCTCTCTCCTCTCTCTCTCTCTCTCTCTCTCTCTCTCTCTCTCTCTCTCCTCTCTCTCTCTCTCTCCCCCCTCTCTCTCTCTCTCTCATTACATTCACTAAAACATCCGCTCGATATACCTCTGTACTTCGGGTCATTGACTTTTTCGTCCCTGTCACACAAATATTCCGCGCACTAAATTCCCATTCTTCTCTTCTTTCAATTACGTAGTCATGTTCTTAATCTTCTTATTTAAGTTTTCCCTCGAAATAGCTTTTTGGAATCCGATGACAAAAAAATACAAAGCAGAACATTTAGAATATCCATGCAATTAATTTTAATCAGCGAAAGGGAAGACTCGAATGTGATAAAGCGAAACAATAACGGGGGAAAGGTTGATGGGAGTGTCAATAGAAACGAAAAGAGGGGAATCATTTCTGTTTTATTGTAGGGAAGGAGCATATAAGTCTCTATCTTTTGGCGGAGTGGAAAGGATGCAGATTTCAACACTGCTGTTTATGAACACGGTCGGAACCTGTCGCGTGGATATTATTTATTGATGGAAAAGGTTTGCCTTACGAAAAATAGGTGGCGCTGACAGGATGACTCGAAGGTGGAGAAAGATTTGCCGCACGAAAAATAGGTGGCGCTGACAGGATGGCTCGAAGGTATAGATTCCAGTGCCAAGAAGGATGTAGGATGAGGGACAAGGTAGTAAGGATTAGGAAAATGGTAAGGATTGGGAAGGGATTTTCTGGGGGAAGGAAAGAGGGTAGAGAGTTTTTTTTTTTTTTTGAGGGAAAGGGATTAAACTTTGAGTAAAAGGATATAGAAAGGTGCGTGGAGGAAGTATGAAATGGACTCGAAAAAATGAGAGAAAAGAGGAAAGTATGGATGATTTAGGTAAAGTAAAAGAAATACACAGGGTTGGAGAGAAGAAAAAATAAAAGGATGTACGGGGGGTAGGATAATGGAGATAAAATACAGGATTACTCTTTACTGTTTTCTTAAATAAAAGGATCTAGAGGAATGGTGAATCCAAAAAGACTTACAGACCATGAATAATACGATTTTTTGCACTGAACGTAGATTTTTTGAGAAAGTTTAAGTCACGAATTACTTTGAAGCCTAATACTCGAAAAGTAAAATGAACTGTCAGCTTACTTTTGGCAGACCTCATTGAAATGACTGACAGGTTATTGCTTGGAATTAGGTCAAATCCTTGAAAAGTTAGGTCACAAGGTTGAATATTATTTTTAAAATCATCTAAAGAAGGTTACAGAAGCCACGGGTTAGGTCAGGTCAGCAAAGACATGGCCTAAGGAAGGGGGACCCGTGGACTGAGGTCAGGTCATTGGAGATTCAGTGGAGAGGATGGAGAGGCCGTATGACCAGGTCACCGAAGACTGTTGTAAGGAGGTTGGGTGGGCCATTGACCACTGACGACTCCACTGACAGAGGTCAGGAGGGCCATAGGTCAAGGCAGGTTCAAGGTTTAGAAGTACTGGGGAGACAGAAGGGAGAAAAAGGTTAATCAGTGGCTTTTCTGCTTTCGGATTTCATTGAAGAGATAGCTTGCCTACTTAATCTCACATACAGAAAAGATATATGGAGAATATAGATAAAAATACACGAGAGAGAAAAAATATTCACTAATGTTTATGCGAGTGAATTACTACCGAAAGGATAGGATTATATTCTGCCTTTAGAAATAACGGTGAGATGTAAGTAAATCCGTGAATTTGTTTGAACACATATCCATTGTACACCAAAAATAACATACTTATACGTGTTATCAGAATGTACTATGTATATACTGTATATAAGTAAGCAATAGCAAAAAAATGAAGGTGTTCTGATAAGATCGCAAATGACAGGAAACCGCCAGGGGGACTATGGTACCGGGTCCTCGCAATACTCCAGGATCTCCTCCGCCACGCACAGCCGCTGGCTCACGTGGTTGCAGCACTCGTCCTGCACGTTGTAGGACCTCTTCGCGCGGCCCCGGGGCGTCCTGACGAGGGCGTGCGCGGCTTCGGGGCTCACTAGGATGTCTCTGATCAGGTCCTGTGGGGTGGGAGGTATCCTTTCTTGCACTAGAGTCAGCGTTTTGTGTATCTAGTATCTAGTAATGCATTGAACAATAGCATGGTATACTTAAAAGTTATATGGTGAGCAATTATATCTCTTTGTGTCGCAAGGTGAGGGATTACACACCAGTGATACCATTTAAGAAATAAAAGTCTAAATGTAGTACACGTTAGCATACAACGGAAAATTATCTGAGAGCTTAAAATAATGTTAATTAACAAAGAAACGCGAACAATGTAGAGGAATAGTCATTTGCAGGCTCTTAGTTTTACCAGATATTTGCGATAATGATCTAAAATCATCAACACATGATAACAAATAGCAATTACCTGACTCACCCTTTCGAGATTCCACGTTGGATTCAGGGCCCTGGGGTGGAGGCGGTGCCGGCGGGGGAGCAGGTCAGGGGGCGTTGTCTGACCTGCCCCCGTGTCCTGCCAGAGGTCGTCGGTATCGGCTGACCTTGACACTGTGAGGGAAAGAGAAGGCATTGTCCCCTTCAAGCTTGTTGTGGTGTTTTGTGGTTGAGAGAAAAATACAGTTAGTTTCAAAAGGATTTCTTTTTTTATCAAGAAAGGAGAATGAAGCATACTTTACGTTGAAATTCTAAGCGATATTCTTTCACTTAGATATACAAACATATAAACAATCACCCCCCTACACACACAACAAATACATGGATGTAAAAACACAGAACCCCCACACTCACACTCAGTCACAAACCCCACACCCACACATCACACACAATGCCACAAACACTCAAAACAACCCCCCCCCCCATCAAATACCTACAAATGACCCCCCCCACACACACACAGACTCACACATCCACCACAACTTACCACAACACACAATTCCACCGCCCTACTTGTTAGAAACACCAATACCCCCACAGACACACACAAACAAACAACACAAAAAACAAACAAACACACACACACACACAAGCACACACACAACATACACACACAAATACACACACACACACACTCACACAAACAAAACAAATACACGCACACAAACACACGCAACCTCCACCCCCACCCCCACCTACCTCTCACGTGGGGCCTGGCCGTGGGGAACGTCTTGCAGATCTGGCTCATGGTGTCGCCGATGTCACCGCAGTCGAAGTCCACAGGAATCCCCGTGACGTTGTAGCCGCTCGACGTCGAAGTCAGCGAGAGAAGCATCAGCTGTTGGCGGAACGAGAGGAAAGGGCGTGTGAATTCTGAGGTAAGGAGAGGAGAGAGAGGGGGGGGGAGGGAGAAACGGAGGGAGAGAGAAAAGGGAGCGGGGGAGAGAGAGAGAGAGAGGTGGAGGGGGAGGGGAAGAGA